TGTGCCAGCATTCCCCAAGGTGCTAGAGACTCTCGAGGCTGCTTGTGTAGAGGAGAAATGGACAACAAGTACTTAGTAAAGTACCCTAAGAAACAAAGATTGGTGAGAGGTGAGATGGGGCTCACTGGGTGTCCAGAACCAGGCATCCAGAAAGGCCCTCCCCCGAGAAGCTGGTATTTAAGTAAAGACCTGGAGGAGGCACAACGCAGACTCCAGCCGCAAAGTGTGCTCCAGGGGAAGGGAGCAGCACGAGGCAAAGAGCGCACGGCAGGCTGGTGGTGCAGGGCCTGGCGGTGTGAACTTGTGCGGTCTGCCCTCCACGCTGAACAAGCCAGGTGCCTGGAACGGTGTCAGCAGGGCACAGAGGGGATGGCCCGTTCCCCAGGCTGGCGGTGTGGGAAGGGCATCCAGGTCCAGGACGATGCGGAAGGAGGTGTGGGCAGGACTTGCCAGTGTGGGTGTGAGAGAAGGCTCCAGCTCAGGCTGCTCTGGCCCGCAATCTAGTTCTGAAGTGCTAGTTTGTCGCCATTTTTTATAGGTGGGGAAACCAAGGCGCATGGCTGTGGGACAGCTAAGCCAGATGGAGCCAAGCTCCCGAGCTCTCTCAGAGCGCTGTCATCCAGAAGTTGGAGGAAACTTTTAAAAAAGCCCCTGCCCACCAGCAGCTGCTTCCTTGGCCTGTGTCCTTCTCCACCTCAGCTGCCAGAAGTTATTTGGGTCCCGACATTTTGGCATTTCCCATATCCCTCCCAGCCCCCATTTTGCAGATAGAAAGACTGAGGCCCTGGAAGGGGCTAGCAGCTGCCTTTGGCCTACTCCAGACCCTGTAGGCAACCAGGCTGAGTGTTGCCAGTGGCCTCACAGGGATCAGATCCCAGCCTGTGGGTAGCTGTGTAAGACCCACGATGCCCCCGCAGGGGTCCCTGCACCCTTGTGATCCTGTGCCCTGTAGCATCCGTGATGCCCACCCAGAGCCGATGTCCTGAGCAGAGAGGGGGCAGGACAGGCGGATCTACCCTTGTGCGCCCCCTGGCTGTGTTGGGCTATGGGTTTTCTGGGGTGGGGGTGAGGGAAGACCGGTATGAACCTTCTGGGGCTCTCGGTAGCCCCTAACCTCTGGCGTCTCCCCGTCTGCACAGTGGTGTTTGCTCTGCCAGCCTGCCTTCCAGGGCTGCTGTGGGCAGGTGCGACAGTGGAGGTGACCGCCTTCCACGGAGCTTGTCCCTCTCCACCTCCCAGCACCCCTGCTGCTCTCCCACTTTGTCCTTCCGTGACCGCCTGCCTCAGTGTGCTCCTGGGTGGGAGAAACAGCCTCTCTCAGAACTGGTCACAGTCTGTGATCCTGACGCGATTCACAAGCCCCGGGGTGACGTGTGCAAGGCTTGAGGGTAGGTGTGGTCTCTGGGGCATCCGGCAGAGCTGCAGCCCGAGCCCCGGCTTGTTTCCCAGGCTCCCAGGAGACAAGTTCTGCCTGTTGGAGCCAATCTAAGGCTTGGGGGTGCTTGGAGCCCAGCTCAGATAGGGGCCTAAGGCCTGAGCCAGGCCGTCCCTGGGGCTGTGCCCGTGTCCCTGGAGCAGAGGTAGCATCTGGGGGCTCAGCTGCCCAGGGCAGTGCAGGAGGCGAGAGCCTGGCTGTCCTGCTGTGCTGGGAGGGGCAGCAGGCGGTCGGGGAAACATCTAGTTAAGCGATAGTTGGGCGACCTGAGGGGCCCGGGAAGGCCAGTGCCAGGTGGCAGGAACTCTGTGCGGCTGTGGGAGACGGGAGGGAGGCGTGTCGTGTCGGGGGGCCAGAGTCTGGGTGCATCTGGAAGCGGTGCCCACAGGCCTGTCGCCGGTCAGAGCAGTCAGAGCAGACCGGAGGGCCTGCTGCTGCTGAGCGCGTCCATAGCCGCAGACCCGCCTGGAGTGCCAGCGCAGGTCCGCTGGGGAGAAGGCTTCTGTGGGTCACACATTTCTCCGTGTCTGCCCTGGGCTGGGGGCCGGGGTAGGGTGATAACTGAGCCCAGGTGACCACGGCCTGTGACAGCCCCAGCAGCCACCCCGCTCGAGGGAGGGAATGAGTGAACAGAGGCACTAGCGAACTTGTGCGGGCTGGGGCCCCGCCTGCTTCCTCTGTGGAGCTGTGCTGAAGCAAAGGCTGGGCTCCTTGGAGCCTGCAAGGCCCTGCGTGGTCTGGGCCCAAGACTCCCTGGCTGGGCTTCTAACCCCTGCCTCGGGCTCATTTAGGCCCAGCCACTCCGCCTCCTCACTATTCCCCGAGCATCTGACCCCACGTCCTTTGCATCTAGTCTGCTCGTTCCCCAGCTCCTCCCTAGGCTCCCTCTTCCCTTCAGGTCTTTGGACCACAGAGGCCTCTTCACCATGCCAGCCCCCACCGCTCCCGCTGCCTTCCCCTGCTGTGCTGACTGTAAGAGCACACACACCCATAGCCTGCGAATCCTGTCATTTGTGTGTGTGTGTGTATATATATATATATATATATATATATATTTTTTT